ATATATATATATTTGATTTTATATTTTATTTTACTGCTATATATATAATTGATTTCTCCTCTAAGGGTATCACTTATTTCTCAACTAGCCTGCATTCCAACTGTCATTTTTACGTGAATAAATTATATGATCTCCTTTCAGCAAGTATATCAGGCTACCATGTTGTCCCTAAATGTTAGGAAGTTGAGGAAAGCATCACTCAGGAGAAAGAAGGTTGTCTGGGGAACCAGCTTTGCAGAGTTAATTTGCCCTGAGCTGGTGGTGGCTAGAGATTTAAATCCCCATGTATAAGTCAAGCTCTACTTCTGAAGAAGAGAGTGATCTGAATTTTCCAAGCTTAAAAGTTATCATAAGTCAGAAACAAGCTACTGAGCCATCCAAAAGAGGAACTTTATGAATGAGAATGAGTGCAAATCTGGGTGGCAGGATACGGGATAATAGATGAGTGGGGTATGAGTATATCTCTTCCAAGTTTACAGTATAGGGAATATCCCACAGGGAATAGCCACCTTGGAATAGAGAGCATTGAACTAATGAGTGGCTGTTAAAACATGCGCACAAGATTGTTCTGGCCACTCACTTATAATGTGGAGGAAGCTGCGGTTGGCATACAAGGGTTGTCAGATAACTTAAACTTGACAGGGGAAAATGGAGACACAGGATAAGGTGGCAGGAGAAGGAAACTTAAAAGATGGAAAGGAAAGCAAGAAAAACACTAGGCTAGAGTAAAATAAGATTGTGAGGATGAGACAGCAGGGAAATGGATGTGTCCAGAGGACTGTTCATCAAGGACAGGGCAGCCAGCTCAGGACTTCCCAAAGTGCCCTGGAAGGATTTCCACCAAGATCAGGGTTGTGCCTAGAGAAAGTCTTCCTGATCCTGAAGATATTTACATATTCAAAGTATCTTCTCAAAAAGCACTTGCTAATTAAAAGAATATAGTAACTTGATACAAAAAACATATATATGGTGGATTCCACCTTGACCTGTAACCTTCCTTAATACCACCAGCATTAAGACAAAGCAATGTCATTTATATGATGGGCTGATGATATGACATTTCTATGGAATTTCTGCCACAACTGCCAAACTGGAATCTAATCATGAGGAAACATGAGCCTATAGCAAGTCAAGAAACACTACAAAATAAATATTTGGAATACTTCAAAAGTATCATGTTAAACAAAAATAATGCTGAGCCAAGACTAAAGGGATATGATAACTAAACATGAGTGTGCTTCCAGAGTAGTTTCTGGCCAAGAGGAGAAAAAGCAAGAGAGCACTTTATTGGGATAACTGACAAAAATTATATATGGACTATTAATTAATTATTGCATTAATTTCTTAATTTTGATATTTTTATTATGGTTCAGTACTGTGTACTGCTGTGTTTTTTCTTAGAAACTGTACTTAAATAATTAGTGTAAAGAAATAATATATCCAGCCAATGTACTCATGTAGTTATATAGGTACATTCTATGGAGTGAGAGACACAGAGAGAGAGGATGATAAACAGGACAAGGTACAAAATAATGACTCATCTGTGTGCCCACTATAGCTTCTTTCAACAATTCTTCCACCTTTTTTAAAAAAATTTGAATTTTATGAAGACAAAGATCTTTACCTTCAATGTTCTAATAGTCAGGAGATGCCACAAGAGGAGGTGGGCTTGGATAAGAGCAGGAAACAAGAGGAAGCAAGACAGCAAATACAAATAAAGACAACACTTAAAGCCAGAAAAGGGGTCTACTGGTAGACCCACCTCCTAGAACCTGCCCAACTGGCTATGTTTGAGCTTCCTGCTGTCTTAAAGTCTCATTGTAATGGTGACAATACTCTTACTTGAACACAGGTGCTCTGAATGCAGAACATAAGACACTGCAGTCTTGCTTTTGTCCTTCCTGATCCACAGAGCTCACCTACAAATGAATTAGAGTGCATGGGACAAATTGTTCCCAGGGAATAGCGATTCCTTGTCAATCCTTTGTTGTCTTTTAGTCACCAATTTTATCCTCTCTCTGTTGGGCTCAGGCCTGCTTTTCAGCTTTTACACAGGCGCCTTTGAAACTCAGGCAGATCAGTCAGTGTGCCTGTCTGTGGGGCTGGTTTCTCTACTGCTTCCTGTGCTCACCTCCTTGGGAATGTCCAATGTACCATCACATATAATTGATTGGTAGGGTCATTAATCCCTTTTAAAATCACTCCCTATGGGGTCATTGGAAATGTGGTATTCCCAAACAATCCCCTTATATATATTTCTCAAACCATGTTCCTCTGTTTCTATCAATTAACCTCCATTTGTTTTTTACATTATTCTTCATTTTGTACATTTTTTTCATCTCAGTTGTAATCCCAGTGGGCTCCCCACCACCACTTCACCCATGTGCCATCACCATAGTCCCATGTGCTCTTTCTACCTCAGTTCTAATATTGTTCCCCTCTTCTAAAGATACATCACCTAAAGCAACCAAATTTTCTTCCTCCCACCAGTTTCTCTTACCAATTTGACTTGCCAACAGAGCCCATGGGGCTCCCATTCCTTCTATTTCATCTGTTATCTTCTGATCCAAGTAAATGTTTCTATCTTGGTATCATTAAAAAATTCCAAGCCTTTGCCCTCCCTGGTGGCGCAGCGGGTTAAAGCACAGCACTAAGAAGCTAAAGCCACTTCCTCATGAGTTCGATTCCCGCTTGCCCTGGAGGTGACCACATGGC